AAAAGCGAACTTTACAACTTTCGTGGGGGGAGGAGGGGGAGGATGGGAAGGGATGGGAAGGGGAAACAAAGGAGGAGGCTACAATGCTTGATAAAAAATGTACTCATTATCTTGCCCATGTAATTGTAACTCCTCTGTACAGTATTTTCACAATAAGAAAAAGAAATCTTGGACTTGGTTTCTGGAAGTCTTGAAAAGTGTAAAGGATAGAGAAAGAGTAGAATGTTGTAAATGGAGTTTAACAAACATTTCTGATAGGAATTAGAACGAATTGCTCATAAAAATGCAGAGACAAAATACTAGGCTAAAGAAGTTTTGAGTAGCTAGGTGCCAGTGGCTCACGCCTGTAATCCTAGCTACTCAGGAGGCTGAGATCTGAGGTTCGTGGTTCAAAGCCAGCCTGGGCAGGAAAAATCCATGAGACTCTCATCTCCAATAAACCACCAGAAAACCAGAAGTGGTAGAGCGCTAGCCTTGAGCTGAAGAGCTGAGGGACAGTGCCCAGGCCCAGAGTTCAAGACACATGATCGACAAAAAAAAAAGAGAGATTTTGATTGAAATAAGTGTGACTCTAAGCTGAAGGTGAAGGATTTATTTTTTTGGCAAGAAATTTCTACGCAGCATGTTGTTCAGGCAGTGGCATGAGTATTACTAGTAGCAATCAGTAGCAAAGTAGAGAATAGAAAGATATATGCTCTATCCCTTTCTTTCTTCAGGTAACCAGTGTTTTTTTTTGTGGGGGGGTCTGGTCGTGGGGCCTGAACTCTGGGCTTGGGCTCTGTCCCTCAGCTCTTCAGCTCAAGGCTAGCACTCTACCACTTGAGCCATAGTGCCACTTCCGGCTTTTTTCTTTTTGCTTATGTGGTACTGAGGAATCGAACCCAGGGCCTCTGGCATGCAAGGCAAGCACTCTACCACTGAACCACCTTCCCAGCCCCCACCAGTGTTATTAATAAAATGTGTTTTGAAACATTGGAATCCAGCTGGGCACTGCTGGCTTACACCTGTAATCCTAGCTATTCAAGAGACTGAGATCTGAGGATAGCGATTCACAGCCAGCTGACACAGGAAAGTCCGTGAGACTCTTATGTCCAATTAACCACCAGAATACCGGAAGTGGCACTGTTGCTCAAGTGGTGGAGTGCTAGCCTTGAGCTGAAGATCTGAGGGACAGCACCCTGGCCCAGAGTTCAAGCCCCACAACTGACCTCAAAAAACCCAAGTTATTTTCCCCTCACTTTATATTTCTTTTGTGTCATGAGTTATTTTTTAGCAGTTGCATTGCAAATTTTACCCACATTATCATCTTGAGTTTACATATACCTTTTGAGATTCTTTGTCTGCCAAATTTATCTTCTCATTTTCTCTTACTGTGAAATTTATATTTTGAGGTAATCTGGTTATTTTTCATCTTCCATATTCATCAAATACATGAGCATATGCTTATGAATTTTTACAGGTATAATATGCCTTCATTTTTGCCCTATACTAACTGGTGTAGGTTTCTCAATCCTCAGTAGTTTGTAGATACCTTGTCTTCTAGTGTTACAGGTGAGAAATTTATTATCTTTCTTCTTTGTTTTCCTTTGCACTGGAATCATATTGAAAGCAGACATAAGTCCCCTTCCATATACTGATTAAAAATTCTTTTGCCAGATAAACGAATCCATTTTTCTTAAACTTGGCCTTTTCTAAAGCTGTAACTTATGGTCACTATGTTCTTTGCAATGATTTAACAAAGGTGGCTTCTACTAACAGAGGGAATAGGGGATCTTCTGGACATTGTGACATAGTTCTGTCACAAAATCGTTTGTAATGCTCTGCTTATAATATTTTAGGCTTTGTCTAGTTCATGCCTCAAAACTCTTACAACCTCTTGTCCATTACCAAGTTCCTAAACTGCTTTCACATTTTAAGCTATAGTTATAGCAAAGACCTTTTCCTTAATACCAGTATTTTTCATTAGCCTATTTTTTTGTACACACACACACACATACACACACACACACACACACACAGAAAAGTCATGAATTTGTCTTACAGTTTGGAAGGTTAAAGCCATGGTGCTGGCATTGGCTCAGCTCTGATGAGGATCTCATGGTGGATGACATGACAGTGGTGGGAACACATGAAGGAAGATTTCATATGGCAAAACAGGAAGGCAGAAACCTACGTTGATTTTTTTAAATAAATTAATCCATAAACTTTTTTACTCCTTACCGTAGTCATTTTTCTGGAAGTGGAGCTGTGACTCAAACTGGCAGACCAACTTTGAGCAAAAGAGCTCAGGGACAGCACCCAGGTCTTGAGTTCAAACCCCATTACCAACAAAAACAAAAACACAGTAGTGATTTTCAACTCCAGCTGTGTGTGCCTTAACATAATATTGGGAGATTGTTTTAATAGGTCTGAAATAGCTATGACTAGTAGTTTTAAAAACATATACCTATTATATATTGCCATTACAAATATTAATCCTAATTCCATACATTGTTGATTTTATATTGTGAAAATGCCTATTACCCAAAACCATCTACAGATCCAGTGCAGTCTCTAAAAATTCCAGTGAGGTTATTTACAGAATTATAAAAATAATCCTAAAATTCATATAAAACCACAAAAGATGCTGAATAGTCAAGGCAGTTGAACAACAACCACAAAAAACAGCCCTAGAGGCATCACAGAACCTTAACTCAAATTATGCTACAGAGCCATAGTGACAAATGCACCGTGGTACTAGCACAAAAACAGACCCATAGACAGCTACAGCTGTATTCCTGATTTTCTTTTTTTTTGTCGGTCGTGGGGCTTGAACTAGCTAGCCATCTGATCTGATTGAACCCAGCTAGCCATCTGATTTTCTACGAAAATGCCAAATCATACATGGGAGAAAACACAAATCTCTTAACAAGTTGTACTAAGAAAACAATATCCACATATAGAAGAAAATAGATCTGCCTCATTTCTATTAAAAAATTGTGTCAAGCTGGGCACCGGTGGCTCAGGTTTATAATCCTACCTACTTAGGAGGCTGAGATCTGAGTTTCGTGGTTCAAAGCTAGCCCAGGCAGGAAAGTCCATGAGACTTTTCTCCAATTAACCACCAGAGAACCGGAAGTGGCGCTGTGGCTCAAGTGGTAGAGTGCTTGCCTTGAGCTATAGAGCTCAGGGACAGTGCCCAGGCCAAGTTCAGGCCCCATGACTGACAAAAAAAAAAAAAGTCAATATGGATCAAAGACCTTAATGTAAAACCTGAAAGTTTGAAACTGGAAAAATATAGGAGAAACAGAATGAGGTGGACCCCTTCATACATTATCCATAGGAATGTAAATTAGTTCAGCTGATACTGGAAATTCAGTCTCCTAAACTCACTGCTAGTTTACAAATAATGAGAGTGAGATTTGAGAGAAAAGAAGCTCAATGTTTATTAATTTGCCCTTTAGTATGAGGCCACACATGTTACTATTGCAAAGAAAACAAAAGTACAGTCCACATAGGAAAGGAAAGCCCAGGATTATTGGCCTGATGAGTTGAGCCTATAAAGTTACATCCCTTGCTGTTCATCACTATTGTTATTTCTTTACTCCTGGCCAGTGAGATAAGGAGAAGGGCAAGATGTCCTTACCTGGAGCTGTAAAGATATTCTTGAGTGTCCTGCTTGGGGGAATTAGTGGCTAGGGGAAGATAAGAAAGAAAAAGCAAAGAGCAAAAAAGGTTTTTGATTTTGCATAACTAAACAGGCTGGCCAGTAATGTGAATTAGTAACTTGACTTAAAAGCTACAGCATGATTATATGTAGGACTCTTCCCAGTACACAGCCATTATGGAAACCATTATAGAGGTTCCACAAAAAAAAGTAGAACTGCCATGTAATCTAACTTTACTACTAGTATATACCCAAAATAATTAAAGACAGAATTCACTAGAGATACCAACATACTTAATGTATATTATGGTATTACTCAAAATAGCTAAGTCATGGGAGTTCCCCTAAGTGCCCATCAGCGGATACATGAATAAAGTAAATTTGGTATATGTATGTGATGGAATATTATTTAGCCATTAAGAAGAACAAAATCATACAGTTTTCAGGAAAATAAATGGAAGACAAAGACCAGCAGTAGACAGGAAATACGGGTTATAGTAGTTGCAAATGTCATCAATGTACCTTATATATAGTATGAACATGTCATAATGAGTCTCATGGTTTTGTGCAATTAATATATGCTACTAAGAAAACTTTACTGAGTAAATAACATTATTATACCTTTATTCAGATTTTCAGTTTATTTGTAAGTTAATAATAGTGCTTTTGATTGATTATCCTATGTTTTTAATGTTTGTTGTTGAAGATATGGTAAATTAAACCAGGTTATTAGATATTACTTTAGGTAAGAATTTTTAAGGAAATGATTAAAGTTATCACATGCTTTATAGTCTGAAACCACCTGTATTTGTTTTGGAACAGGGTCTCATTACATTACATAGACTTGTCTTGAATTTGCCTCAGCCTCCTGAAGGGCTGGAATTACAGGAGTGCTTTAGCTTACATTGTGTTTTTGTTTGTTGGTTTGTTTTTGCCAGTCCTGGAGCCTGAACTCTGGGCCTGGGCACTATTCCACAGCTCTTCAGCTCAAGACTAGCACTCTTCCACTTGAGCCACAGCGCTACTTCTGGCTTTTTCTGCTTATGTAGTGCTGAGGAATTGAACTCAGGGCCTCATGCATGCAAGGCAAGCACTCTACCACTGAGCCACCTTACCCCAGCTCCTTACATTATGTTTTAAAGTGCAAAGTAATCACATCCACAGGTAGTTCTCATATCAGCATATTTCTTCAGATATTGAAGATTCTGTGTTGCTCTGCAGTAGTAGAAATTTATTTTTTCTTGTTAGATCATATAGAAAAGGATATCATATTTAGGAAGTTAAAAATGGGAGAATCTAGTAGTGGATCTGAGTAGTTTGCAAAAGTAAACTTTTTAAAATTTCCTAGTCTTGGATAAAGATTAACTTCAATGATTCAAAGGGCTAAATATTGACTGAATATGGATTTGAAAATCTGAAGTTTCATCCAAATCTAAATATGCTTTCATCTTATCTGCCAACAGGTACAACTGTAACTGCTTTAAGGTTATTTAAGAATCTTCCTGTAAGAAAGCAATTTTACTCAACCACTAAAAAATGTAAAGATGAAATAAAAAAGATCCAGGATCTCCTGATAAGCTATGGTATCATAAAACCTGGTTTAAGGCTTGTCTTTGTACATAATAAGGTAAGCACTATTACATTTAATAATTTTTTTTCTTTTGGGGCCAGTGTTAATTCTAGCTTTCAGGAGGCTGAATCCAAGATAGGCAGAAATATTGAACACTCTCCAATTAGCCAGCAGAATGTTGCAAATGGGGTTGTGGCTCAGGTGGTTGAACATCATCCTTGAGCCAAAAAACCAAGTAATACCATGAATCCCTGAAGTTAAGCCCCAGTACTGGCACCAAAAAAAAAATATTATTTTTGGTATATAATATAATAATAGTATGTTTAGTATGTTTTGAGTAAATCAATTAGATATGTACCATAGATTGAATGCTTTGTTACACCATACCATCCAAATTCATTTGTAGAAAACCTAATCAACAATGTGATAGTACTAGTAAATTGGCCTTTGGAGATGATTTGATCATGAAGGAAGAGCAAAGATAGATGGAATTAGTGCCCTTATAGAAGAGATAGCTGGGTGCTGGTGGCTCACATCTGTAATCCTAGCTCTCAGGAGGCTGAGATCTGAGGATCGGATCACAGTTCAAAGCCAGCTCAGGCAGGAAAAGTCTGTGAGACTCTTATCTCCAATAAACCACCAGAAAATCAGAAGTGGTGCTGTGGCTCAAGTGGTAGAGTGTTTGCCTTGAGCTGAAGGGCTGAAGGATAGCACCCAGGCCCAGAGTTCAAGCCCCATGACCAACAAAAAATAAATAAAGAAAGAAAGAAAGAACCTCTTTAATTTGACAGTATCTAAATGAAATCTAATTGAACCTTACACTAGTGATCCCCTGAAACAAAATTTCAAGAAATACTTAAGTGCCTTGTCAAATTTGATAGATTTTAATAATGTGAAAATTAGTAAGGCTTACTTTAGTCCTTTAGAAAGCTCACAATTCAGTAACATTTTTCAACTACTAACCTTTTTATATTTGAAAGGGTTGGAGTATTGTTTGTTTTTTAAAGGAATCCAACTTATTCACAGTTTTCAATAAGGCTAATAAGGAAAAAAAATCATTTTATTGTGTAATAAATTAAGAGGAAATAAAGCTGATGTATTTTTCTGATGTATTTTTCTGATTAATGTTTTTCCTGAAATTTTGCATGTGCCTTTGAAATATTTAATGGAGAACAGAGCCATACAGCAATGTAGAAATCTGATGGGAAATAGTAATTTTGAATGAGTACCTGCGTAGTATCAGGATCATTCCAGGTGCATCAGTGTCCCTTAATGCTTATAGAAACAAGCAAGTGAGATGAACATTTTATCTATTTTACAGTTGTCCTCTAAACAGAAATAAAAAAAATTTCTTTGCTCAGTGTTATACAACTAGTTAATTGTCAATGTGGGTTAAAACTTGGCAGGCCTTGTTCTTTATAACTTTCCTTCCTTTCTGGTGTTAATCAGTACTATATGACAGTTATAGAATACTTTTTCAGATATCAGAATACTTACAATGACTTTGTAAGGTAAACAGTATTTATGTGAAGAACTTGAAGGTCAAAGTGATCAGTTAATTTTTTTTCATATTTTTTAGTAATAGTGCTGAAGTCAGAAAACATTTTGATTAAGTTTTCTTTCTACTCATCCTTTTTACTCATTTATCCAGAAGTCTTTATCCTCGGTCTTCAGGCCATGGTAAATGTTTATAATCAAAATATTGGGTCATCTTTAAAAAAATAAAAAAGAAAAGAAAATTAAGAATAGCTAGCCACCTGTTCTTGCTGGCATATAGCTCAACCAAATGATACCTTGAGATCTCTTTCAGTTTTATCATGCTATGATTGCTCATGATGTTGATGGATGGAGACTCATCCTGCTAATATAAATAACCTATGACCTCCTGATCCAGAGGGCATTTAGTAATTAAAAGTTAAATATCCCCAAGTTAAGAAAAGAGCAAGGTTAGAAGAAACATAGTCATCAGGAAGGGAAAACTGATGAAAATGTTACATATGATGAGAGATATACTTCTGAAAGAAAAATATTACAACTAAGTAGAATAGTTTACTAAGAAAGTACAATAGGCAAAACATAGTTATTGCCTTTCTAATTAAAGTAAGTATATTTGTGAGATGATATATAAATTCTTTAATCAAAGTGAAATTTATAATAATTTTAACCTTACATCATTTTCCCATTCAATATAAAATTATATAGATGCTTTCTTTTGAGAATGAAAAGCAATATTTTGTAATTTCCTATATATTATTTTTAGAGGACATAATATTTTAACTTTGATTAAACAAATGCAAGTCTGTGGCCTTGAATAATTTAAGATGCAGTTTTAAGAATGTTATGCCATGAAAGCAATAGAAGTTTATCAAAAGTTTAATAAAAAAATTATCAGCTATTACTATACAAGATCAAGGACTGAAATAGAATGTTTCCTACCTTTAGACATTTCTGTTAACACAGATTGCTATTCTACTTTTTTGTTTTTCAGTAATCCTTTTGTGCGTCAAAAAACTGTTAAAATACTTTATCCAAAAAAAACTTCCAAATAATAGTTACCTGGTATCATAACTCTCTTTGAACATTGCGCTTTAGCTTTTCCTACTCAGTGTCTACTTTCATCATAATTCATATGCTTTTATGAAAAAGAAATTGTCTTTAAATTTAAATGTGACAATATTGATGTCTTTATTTTTTCCTGCATTACCATCATATTGAATATAATATGAGAAGTACTATTGCTATTTTGATAACTTGGATTAGATAGTGTTCCTTCTTTTTATGAAGGTTTAACCTGCCAAGACATTCTCTGAATACTGATAATGTTGGTGTTCTTGCCAGTATGGTTATGTTAGAAAGAGGTATTTTTCTTCTTTCATCACCATGTTCCTTGAAAGCATATTGAATAATGAGACAGCCAAAGGAAAGTAATTTACAAGTGGATTCAATGAGTTTATTTAAAGTAGATATTATTTGGAGAATTGCTGGAGCCATTTCTTAGATGAATATTTACAGTTTTCAGGTTTAGTTGTAGTTACCTAAGGACTGTAAGTTCCTGCTGTACATGTCTTTACTTTCAAAGTAATTATTTTGTAGAATTGAAAGTTTTTCTTAACATGATATCTGAAATTGATTTTATAAGAACAAATAATTTTGTAGAACACTAGTTTAGAGCATGCTTAATTTGTGATTTCCAATAAAGGATACTTGCTTTCCTTTAAAAATTACTTATATTTAAAAATTGTTTGGAAGTTTAGTTTTTTGTTGTTGTTGTTGTTTTATTTTGCTTTGCAATGTTGTGGGTCAAAATTAGAACCTTGCATGTGTGGAGTGTGCTTTCTACCACTGAATTATTCCTCAACCCTGAGTTCTGTTTTAATAATTAGAAGCTTACTGGTATTACAAAAACTAAATTGGATGCCATTGACATAAGGTTTGAACTGTTACCAAACATAATTTAAAGAAGGCTTCCCTCCTGTTTCTACCTTTATGTCATAAAAGTGTTCAGACTTACTAGAATCAGTGATTGTTGTGTTGTTTGTGTCTGTCACACCCACGTACATACACACACTAAGGTCAGGGAGAATGATGACACAGTTCATTTCTGATTTCATCCATTCTGAAAGTATTCAGTCTGGTAGGGCCTTAACCAGATATAGTAAACCAGGAATCTGGCCATGGAGATTTGATATGTATGTGGTGGCAGCTCCATTACTTGACATAGTTTTCCCTAAGTCTTGAGGAATACTTTCTTGTCATAGTCACTAAAGATTTGAATTATAAATGGAAAAATAAGTAGTGTCTTTTAATCTACATCTGCTATGTTCATAATGTCATGATATTCTTTGTTTCAGGTGTACTGTGGGAAATATAGGAAAGGTCTTTCACTGTCATTGGACTAATGTTAAAGGCCACCTCTTCCTTTTGCCCTCCAATCCCAGTCAGAGTTTTAACAAGCAGTATAATCAAACCTAGATTTGAATTCAAAATTGTGGCTCAGATGTCCCTTCTTTTAAGGAATTTTTTCTTCCTCTGCCAGTTTGGATGATTTGGGGTAAAGTTTGTGTTTATTGCCCCATTTTGAGGGGATGTGCAGTACTTAGGCTTGAACTCGTGTCTCCCACTTGGCATATGCCAAGGCTTTTGTCCCTTGTCCCTTTCTAACTGATTATTTTAAGCCAGGGTTTTCTTCCCACCTGAGCATGTGCCTGTATCTCAATCCATCTAATTTGGCTTTCTACTTGTAGCTGTGATAACAGGTTTATGTGACTGAGCTCAACATTGAGATGGAATCTCATGAAATTTTCGGCCTAGGCTGGCTTGTTCTCTCAGTCTTAGCCTGCAGTTCTCTCAATCTCTGCCTTGTGTGAAGCTACAATAACTAATGTCCAGCCATGGGTTGTGTCCAGGATGCCTTGAACTAGAATCTGTCCAGTCTTGGCCTTCCCAGTACCTAGGATTACAGATGTGAAATGCTGGCGCTCAGCTTGTTTCCTTTTACTTGATGAAGTAGATGTTCCTTCAGATATATTTTAGGGCTAGCTGCACTAATTATCAATCATGAGTTGTTGGTTTAATGATAACTAAATTTATTAAATGATTCTTATTTTTTTCCTTTGTTACATTACTTTCTTTGCTTCTAATCTAATTTCTATAAAATGCTATATAGAAAAAATGAAACAAATATATCAAATTCTTAAGTGTTGTTCTTTTGTAAACATTTTGGTGTTTATATTATTAGAGTCTTAAAAATTTTCCTGTTATTTCCCATGAGAATATAGGTATGTTTTGACTGATTCCATAGAATTTTCCAAATTTGTCTACAGTTTGATTTTTCCTTCATTATCAGTGAAAAAGGAAAAAAAAGTAAAGATTACTTCAGGCCAAAATTTTTAGGGAAGACTTCTTGATGGATGAGTTTTGATCTGAATCATAAATGTTGGCTAGGTTTAAGCTGATACTCAGATATGTTACTATAAAATATTATAAAATATTTAGGAGAATTTAGTCACACCTCTGATTTGATTATAGCATAAGAAATTATGAAAATCTTCTTCACA